AGGAGAAAATACAGCTCCTGAAATTCCTGACAAAAAGTTCCAAGACGTTTTTAAAGCCAATAAGAAATTCATATTCGAGGGGAATACAGAAAACGATGTTCAAGCCACTTATAATATTCCATTAGAAAACGACATCTCAGTTCCGCAAATAATAAACCAAGTAGAAAAAATTTTCAGCAATCAACAAACAGCATTTAAAATCCAGTTCTCTTTTGGATTTATTCTTCGACATGTTGAAACGCAAGACTTCAGGTATTTCATTCCTGCACGAAATGTTAGTTTATTAGAACGACCATTTCTCATAAAGAACATGTTCAGCATACAGAATTTAAAGGAAAAGCTGGAAAACATTTCTTTTCAGGAATTTTTACATGCACAAAGAGAAAACACAAAATGGAGACTATTTTATTTGACCAACTTACGAATCTCAGTTTTCAAGACATCTTATCTGTTAGGTGCAGGCGGAACCAACTTACCGGAATATATTATGTCAAACAAAAATATAAGAGCATTGTCGAAATCTACCAAAGGGAAAGCATATCAAGACAACTTGTGTGCATTCAGATGTTTAAGTGTGTATTTAAACGGAGGAAAAGAATTGGAGAAAACAACCAAGGAAAACTTTAAAAGATTTATGGAGTATATAGAAGAAGACAATACTCCAGTACAAGGTTACCAGGGATTAGACCTTAGAGACATGCATCATTTCGAAAGATGTTTTGAGATTAATGTAAATATTTTCAATCTACAAGAAGACGGAAATGTTTTAGTAGTGCGTAGAAGCCCCTGTCATTTCAAGTCAACCATGAACCTTAATCTGTTCGAAAATCACCTTTCGTACATTTCCAACTTGAAGGCCTACAGCAAAACCTATCAGTGTACCGTATGCGAGCGGTTCTTCCCCTCTGCTTGGCGTTGTCTACAGCACGAACGCAGGTGCGAAAAGAAAACAAAATTTGTATATCCTGGAGGGTTTCACAACCAGCAAAGGAACATATTCGAGCAGCTGGATGAATACGACATCCACGTTGACAACGATCTCCGTTTCTTCCCATATTTTATAGTATTTGATTTTGAAGCCATCCTCCGGAACATCGATGATGCTCAACCAGGGAAATTAAAATGGAGCGCTGAACATCAACCAATATCTGTCAGTATATGCTCGAATATACATCAATTTCAAGAACCCAAATGCTTTGTGAATTCAAACTGCAATACCCTTGTCGAAAACATGCTAGAATACATGAGTGAAATAGCTGAACGTTCAAATGAATTGGCTTGCGAGAGATGGGAGGAGACGTTTACAGACATAGATTCCAAGATAGATGAATGGGACGAGGATGAAGATGACGGCTATCTGATGCGAATGGCTTTAGAGAAATTAAAAAAGAAATTTGAATTTTACTGTGAACAAATTCCTGTACTAGGTTTCAATTCGTCGAATTACGACCTAAACTTAATCAAAAAGCATATCTCGAAACACATGCGAATGCACGAAATGGAGGGCATTACAATTAAGAAAAACAACAGTTACACGTGTATTGCAAACGATCAATTCAAGTTTTTAGACATTTCCAATTTTTTAGCAGCGGGAACGAGTTATTCATCTTTTCTGAAAGCGTATGATGTAGCAGAATCGAAAGGCTTTTTCCCTTACGAATATCTCACAGATGCCGACAAATTATTAGAAACAGAACTCCCTCCACATACAGCGTTTTACAGTTCACTGAAAGGAAAGAACATAACAGAAGAAGAGTACCAATACTGTCTGGAAGTATGGCACAAAGAGAATATGAAAACCATGGAAGATTTTCTAATATGGTATAACAATTTAGATGTCGGTCCTTTTGTACAAGCGGTACAAAATCTACAAGAGTTTTATTTCCAAAGAAATATTGATGTTTTCAAAGTCGCTGTGACAGTACCAGGGATAGCCAGAGAAATGTTATTCCGAGCTAGTAAAGAGTGTGGCGCTTCATTTGCCTTGTGTGGTGAAGATGACAAGGACCTTTATCAAACAATTAAAAACAACATAGTAGGTGGACCGTCAATTATCTTTAACAGATATTCTAAAGCTGGAGAAACAACAATAAGAAATAATATAAATAAACCCTGTAAACGCATTGTGGGTTACGACGCAAATGCATTATACTTATGGGCTTTAAATCAAGCCATGCCTACAGGTACCTATATTCGCCGCTTAAAGCAGAATGATTTTAAACCGGAAGCTCGGGATAAGTTCGTATCTGCTTATCACTGGATGGACTGGATTTCAGAAACCACCGGACATGAAGTAAAACATAAATTGAATTATGGACGAGAAAAACGAGTAGGCCCCTATCCAGTAGACGGGTTTTGTTCAATCACCTCTACTGTTTTCCAGTTTCATGGATGTTATTTTCATGGACATGATTGCGAGATAACAAAACACGTTAAGAACGATAAGTGGCGACAGAGTAGAGCAGCCAACTATGAAAAGACATTGAAAACAAGCGCGTATATACGGGAACGAGGATACATTCTGAATGAAATCTGGGAATGTGAGTTCAGAACCCTGAAAAATACCAGACCCTCTCTACGAAACGTAATCGATGGAAAATTACCACAATTCTTTCGTCAACACAAGAGAAAGGTCTCCGAATCCGAAATTTTAAAGGCTGTGCATGATGGACGATTATTTGGTATGATAGAGGTAGACATCAGTGTTCCTGATAAATGGTCTTCTCATTATCAATCGCAGCTGCATCCTTACGAATACTTTCAAGAAATGGCGCCCTTATTTTGTACAACAAACATACCTTTTGAAGCTATAGGACCTCACATGCAACAACACGTCCGTACAAGAGGTTTATCCGAAAAACCCAGACGACTTCTGGTAGGAGGTATGAGAGCAAGAAAACTGCTATTAGCTTCACCATTACTACAGTGGTACTTACAGCACGGACTTGAAGTGAGTCATATCTACCAAGTTATAGAATACACCCCCATGAAATGTTTTCAATCATTTGTCACCAACGTTACGGAGGCTAGACGTCAAGGAGATAGCAATCCTAATTTAAAACTCATCGGTGAAACCCAAAAAACGATAGGAAATTCGGGATTTGGCTCTGTGATTATGGACAAGTCAAAACACAGAAATGTTCAATATATTGAAGGAAGTGAAGAAGCTCAAAATGCTGTGAATAACCCTGATTTTATCAACTTGACCTTGTTAGAAGACTCGGTATACGAAGTGGAGAAGGCAAAATCTCAAATTAAATTAGATCTACCTATACAGTTAGGGTACTTTATTTTACAATATGCCAAACTTAGGATGCTGGAGTTTTATTACGATTTCATGGATCGTTATTGTGACCGCTCAGATTTTATGTATTGTGAAATGGATACGGACAGCGCTTACATGGCTATATCCGAGGAAAATCTTAATGACATAATTCAATCGAACATGAAGCAACGCTATTTACATGGTCTTTACAACTTTTGTAAACAGACAGACATCGAAGCTGACGCGCGATATCACTGGTTTCCCAGAGAATGCTGTAAACAACACGCCAAAAGAGATAAAAGAACTCCTGGTCTTTTTAAATTAGAGTTTGAGGGTGATGAATTTGTAGGACTGTGTTCTAAAACTTATATCGTAAACAAAACTAGATCATTCTCTGTTCAGTCATATGTTTTAGCGAGACGACTTGTCAGAAAAGCCAAAGGACTAAAACCTGTTAAGCGGTTGCTTTCAAAATCCTCTCAATCAACCAGAGAATGCAAGTTCAGCTGTAAAGGAATCTCCAAACGTGCTGTCCAAACACCGCTAAGAACATTCAGAAAGGTTTTAAAGACATCAACATGTGTCAGCGCCGTAAACAAAGGCTTCCGTGCTAAAGACAATGGTATATTTTCATATCAACAAGAACGAGCTGGCTTCACCTACTTTTATTGTAAACGTCAAGTACAAGATAATGGTATAGACACCAAAGTGCTTGACATTCTTCTTTGTCCAGATGAAAAATAAAAGAAAAAAAAGACAATTGTTTTTAATCTACTTGTAAACATTTTATTGTCAATAAATACACACTACTTTACACTATTTTTGTTGTTGTGAAAGTCTAGTAAGTACATTGTTGATTAAAGGGATTATTCTGATAAGTCTTTTCCATTGTGCGGTAGTCAGATGTAATCCTTTAATGGTAGCTTTCCTGTTGAAAAAGATCCTCAGGTCGATTCTTATAGCCTCTTGATATAAACAGACAGTTACATAAACATTCCCAGAAATGGAAAAAGACTGAATATAGTCGCAAAGCGTATTGTTCGTATCAATGTTCACACTGGTGTAATTTTGTTCCGTTTTGGTTTCTGCTTCGTTTAGGGGTAAAGAAGAAATGGTCGTCATCACAATAACTATAGTCAGGCATGCGATGGATAATATGCTAAGAATCCCCTTGGTTTTTACAGATTTTAACGTGTTTTTTAATGAAGAACTTGTTTCAACGAACCTTTCAGTCTCCATGGTTGTTATCAAATGAAATAAATCAGGGATTAAACCAACATTTTATTAAATATTCTCTCTTTAAAATCGTATACAAAGCTATCATTTTGAAGCAGTGAATCTGGTTTAAAATTAGCTAAGATGTCTTGCATGCGTAATCCTCTTGCTCGAAAGTAACAGTAATAGAGGCAGTATTGACCACACACGCTGGATGAATGACTTTGTATTCTTTGCTTATTATAGACGACGGTTTTACCCCTTGCAATGAGATAATATCTAAAGTAAGCATGATAATGCTCTGGCGGTTGTCCTAACGAATCAAAAAACTCTGAACACTCATCATTAAAATAGAAGACACACCAGTGACTACCAGAATGACCTTTTTCTTCGGTGTTTAAAATATAAAACCCATACGGGTTTTTAAATTGTAATACAGTATCTGCCGGAAATACACCTCCGTATGATTTATGAATAAAATAATCTTCTAGCATTGCCTTCTGTAACTGCTTGTCATCCATTACTTGGTATCGACGTTACGCGCAGCGTCAATCTTTAAAACGGAAGGAAAATGCGCATAACATATGCAGGTCACAGCTTCTTGTAGAGCGGTATCAAATTTTAGCTGTAATCTGGTGTGACCTTTCCTGAGCAGGGGTAGATTATTTTTACTGTCGTAAGTACTATTTACATCAAACATATACAAACAATATCCCTTAGCGTAATCTTCGCGACTGAGAGAAAATTGATGACCAGTAGTTTTAATACGATTTCCGGAGAACAACGAGAGGTAAGCGGAGATGTAAGTTCCTCTGTTGTAATTAGATTCCAGCGGATTTGTTGGTACAGACTTTCCATCTACATACAAAGCTGCAGAATTACAATGAAAATGCTGAAAATTAAAAGGGTTGAGAGCATAGTCACCGCTGTATGCTCTGGAAGAAACGAGACCAACTACTAATCGTTCCGGAATATCTCCTTGAAAAACGTCATCGATATTCATGTGAAATTGCCCAGCAGCTATAGTAAAGCATTTCAGGTCGGAGCGACGAAGTGGGTAAATAGCAGGTTGCTTCAAAAGAACCTCGTTGTGACCGAGAATGACTCCAGGATTAATCTTTACATAACAACACTTCAAAATACAGTCTTCTATTTGAAGCTTATATCGAGTCGGGTTTTCAGCTGACATAAGACAAAATGTTTCTCTCGCAGGCCAGAGTTTAACCCCTACTTGAATTCCATTAATTATAAAACGTTCCTGTTGACAAATATCCATGAAGACGGGTCCCTCTAAATCTAAACTTTTACTGTTCTCTGTGAAGGTACTTCTTATATAGAGTCCCATATTAGAACCGGAAACTGGATCGGCTTGGTCAAAACTGCCCGCACTATCTTGAATGTAAAGCTGTGTCTGACATTCAGGATCGTTTGAAAGAGTACCGTGCTTTAAAAGCATGTCTAAATAGGCTTTGTATGCGTAATTATTAGAAACACTGGGCGTTATGATTTGTTGTTGTAGAGAAATGTCTACTTGATTCCACATAGAATGTAAGGGTAAGTTAATCAGACCGACTTTTTCTTTTTCTCCTAAAACTGTACCATCTTCGTGTAAAAGTCTCAATCGTACATACAATCTTGTTCTTTGTAAATCAATATAATTGGTACCAGAACCCGAGATATTAAATTCTACAGCACCTCCGTGTACCGGACTTGCCGTAGGTCTTATATCAATCCATTCAATCTGTTCTACTCCCGCCTCGGTGGGGAAATTATGGAAGAGCGCTAAACGGCGACTAAATGCCGGCTTTGAACCTTCAGCACAATACATGTTTTCACTCTGACAGCTAGTCATAAAATAAACAAAAATGAGTGTTAACTACAATATTTATTCTCAATTCTAACATGAAAACTATTGAGCGTAAACAAATAGATTCTTCTTTGCTGAAAGTTTCTTTTTCGTCTTTTTTTCAGGCGGTGGGTTGAAATGAACTATCGGTTCTCCCTCATGCTTTCGTTTCTTTAGTTCCGATCTTGCCATTTCGACCGCTTGTTGCGTTGGAGTGATGAGCTCAATCTGCGTCACTGGCTTACTACCATTTCCAAACTGTCCAATAATATAAGTCTTCTGATTTGGTATATATTTCATGTCTACACTCTCTACAAAATGCTTTTTCCATTCATTTACATCCGGAATAAAAGGTTTCCAAGACATTTTCTGAAGTGTAATGTACAGTACAGCTTTGTTAAAGGTAATGACTCTGTGATATAATTGTCGTAGGTTATGTACAAACGGAATCTTTGAATTTGGTCACGTGCAAGTCGAATATAGTACGGATTCGTTATAATCTGGTCTGGATGTAATAATCTTCTCAAAACTGGTACTCTCTCACTTCCCAGGCAACTGTTCACACACAAGTCTGAACAAATATTAATGACGGGTATCTGAATCGAAGACAAAGTCTCGAATTTTATATCTACTAAAGCACATTCCCATTCACCAGTAAACTGTAAGAGATATGGGAGCTCAATTATGAAACTATGCGAATTATTCTCAGGATGAAAATTAAGACTATCTTTAGAAGTACAAAAAACGTATTGTTCGCTCATGCTGTCGGAGCGTCCTTAAGCTGAGACTGTGGGATCCAACTATTAAATTTCTTATCCCAACCAAGCCATTTAACGAGCAACTCTGTTTTATTATTTCTTTTTCTTTTTCGTAAGATTTTTTCTACGGTGTAAACAGTATCTTCATTTACAATTGTTTTCTGTAATTCGCTTTGGTAAAAATTTCCTACGATTTCTTCGTTGTTATAATCCTTTAAAGTGTAAAAATTAAACCCGTCTCTTTGAAAGCGCGAGGAGATTAAAAATAATTCTCTCGTCCATCTCTCGTCGTACTCTCTTCTAAACAAATTACGCAAGTGTGAAATTCTAACGGCATCTCCAATCCGGAATTTAAATGGCGAGGGTGTTTGTTTTTCCGCTTTACGCCGTTGTAAATGCCAAAGTCGGTACCGGTCTTCATTGGTCACAAGTTTAGGGGTTGTTCTTATCCCGCGATGGTACGTGTCATTATAACTTTCTGTAATATTATTTAACTCTTCTATCCAGCGATGGGAATGTGTATGCGTTAGGAAACGAGCTATTTTCTTTTTTATCGTTTTGATAGCCCTCTCCGCATAAGAAGCTTTCACACTGTTTTGACTAACAAATTGCTTCACTTTATTCTGACGTAATAATTCCTTTACATTGGAATTAACAAATTCCGTGCCTTTATCCGATCGTATGTTATGCGGAATTTGTCCAGACTTCTTAAAAATTTTACTTAAAGCATTCACCATTTCTGTTCCCTTTCTAGTCTTTAGTGGAAATGTCCATACAAACCTAGAAAAAATGTCAATAGCTAATACAAAATAAGCATAGCCGTCGTTTTCTTTTTTATAAGCGTCTAAAACGGCAGTGTCTATATCCCACTGATAATTTTTATACGTCGCTATAACAGTTCGTCTCCGAAATTTTCCACGACTCTGTTTATGCACCCCGTAAGATTCCTGTGTTTGTAACCATTTTCTTATTTCCCTTCTCGATATCTTAAATTTTCCTTCGTTTTTGATCCATCGATAGAGTTTATCTTCACTGGAATAGGCAGCCGGATGAGAGGAATCGTAATAAATTTTGTTTAGGTACTTATCGTTCATTGTATATTGATGTTTTCCTTCTCTCTTTTAATGAAGAAATTTTAATTGTATCCAATCTGATGTCTTCTCTTTGTTCTTCTTTTTTCTTTTCGCTGCGGGAATACCGGGCGGCGGGGGCGCGGCGGCGGCGGTGGGCGCGGTGGCGGCGGCGGGCGGCGGAATATTTCCTCCGATCTGCGCTGGTGTCTGTATATCTTGTCGTTTTAACATCCGTTCATATTGATCAATTGGAATTAATACCATTTTCCGCGTAAAGTTCATTTTTATCTAGTATGACAGTCCCAGCCTCACATAAAACTTCTGTGAAGTAACGGTAATGGGATTTTAAAGCTCTGAGTTTCGTTTTTATCGGACGTTCTGGATTACTAAAGTTTAAAAGCAGCTTTCTTCTTTTTTGAATGAGCCTGGTTAAATTTTCACTTAATGTTAAGGAGCCTTGGAGCAAATTGTGAATGATTTCTGTTAGAGCCCGGATTTGTGCCGGACTCGCTGTATACAATAAACCAAATTTTTGTTCTTTAGGCGTCTGTTCATCTAAAAATAATTTCAGGAAAATGATAACTTTAGATATGTTTACACTCATTATACAGCTAACTTACTCTCGCAAGTCATAGTCCAAAATGAAACCATAATTTCGGTTACTTGGGAATATATACGATACAGGTTTCATCGGGGAACACCCCAGTTCTTATCCGGTATTTTTCCTCCGTATGAGGTGCGAGATCTAAAACGAGGTAACCATAGGGGGTAGATAAACAGTCATTATACGCTTCTATCAAAGCTTTGGATTTCCCACCAAATACTTGTCTACTTAAACAGCTTATCTGAGTAATGTCCCTTGGATTCTTCAGTAAAACCATGTAGTGTGTATTAAGATTAATATTTCTGGAGTGTTTTCCTTGACAGTACATATTTTGATTTAAATAAACAATTGTCAATTGTCGATGATGGGCTCCTTGAGTAAATAACCTCTCCATTTCTCCATTTTTAACCACCTCATGCATTAAATCGTCAATAATAACCATATTATGTTCTCCATTTTGACACAAAACGTTTATATCCGACTCTGAAGGTAAACCTTGTAAAAATATCAAATTCTGAGACTCTTTCTCCATTTCGTCAAATGCGCTCTGATAAATACTGTAGCAATATAAAATTTTACAAGGAATCGGTCCCTCAAACATTCTTTGAGCGTATTTCATTAATTTTCGTACCCATGTAGTTTTACCAGAACCCGTACAACCAGATATAGATATGGTTGTGTGACTGTTGAAGGGAAACATGTTCACACTATCAACATGACTTTAAAAATGAATGATATCATACATCTGTTTCATCTTTTATTTTTTTACCACATGCATGCATAATATTCAAATAAAGACATCTTTTAAAAAATCTCTCTTCTAGATATACAATATACTTTTTTTCTCGCTTAAATAAAAGTCTTTCTTTTTCCCCATTTTTTCTTTCAAGAGTCCAAACTTATTAGTACTTCTCCCACTCGTCCGGGTTACATTCTCGACATCTTAGCATTCCCATCTGGTTTTGGTGGTCCTCCGATAATTGACAAGGAATGATGGTTTCCATGTCCAAGGGTATATGGAAATTAATTTCATCGAGGAGGGACACTAGATGTTCCCATTGCGAGAATTTTAACGACAGTCCCTCGAAAGTCGGAATTGTGCCCTTCTTGAATTTCCTTACGTTCACACAGGTGTAAGGACTGCCTATGCTTACGTAGACATTTCCTCCTAAATGAAGCCGGTAGCTGACGTCATCCTCAACTTTCATTTGCTGAATGGTTTCTTCAATTTCTGGAAGATTGTTCAGCACATTTTTCCATCTGCTAAGAGATAGACACTGTCCCTTATCAGTTGGTTCGTCTTCGTCGCTGAAGATCCTCAAGTCAACTTCAAATCTGTTTTCGTTCTTTAGTACCTGCACTACTCTTCCCTCACCAAGTTCTCTTTTATAAAGTGAAACGGCCATAGTGAATTCAAGAAACTGAATGACTTATTTGATAAACTCCTGAGTTTATATACTTTTTTTTTACATAACTTGTCTCTATGGCTTTGAGAACAACTTTATTTGTTAAAACTTGCCCTACTTTGTACATTACTACCTGTTATGCTTCAAGACTGATAAAATATTTGGTGTCTTTTTTCCGTCTATACTTCGATACATTATGTAAACAATGGAAAGAACAATGACTAGACGGATTAATTACTTCACCAAAAAAATACAGATGTTTGCGTGCCATTTCTCCAATGGTACGAATTTACGAGAGTATGTCTCTTAGTAATTAAAATGGGGAAAGGAAAAAAGAAAACATTTATACTTTGTTTTAAAGATTTAATGTTGTTTTTTTTCTCTCTCTCTCTCAAATTGAACACTACAGAGTTGACAGATTAAAAATTTACATTCGGCACATTATTAAACTTTAAAGCTACTGATTGTCTTATATACAGTTTCTGACATCTTAAAATGTGAGGCGGTTTGGTCTCCTTCTTAACCTGGTTGATCTCCGGAGTTGGGGAATCGCTTCCTGAATTTCCTCCGGTGGTTGATGGACTTCTTCTTCCGGTTCGCGATGACGGAAAATCTTTTTTACTACACAGATGATACAGATAATTACTGAAATATAACAATTCATTCAAGTTTAATGTCACTTATACTGAAGTATACCAGGGAATCACGGTCCTGGATATGGGTTGCGTTCCTTTTAAATTTTCTCCATAAGGCCAGACTAATGCCTAATCCAGCGAACAAAATAAAAGTTGCAGAAATGGCTCCGTATATAATAATCAGGTTAACATCTAAAAGAAAAACAAATTGTAGATATGCTTTAAATTTTGATAATTTTTTTGTTCTTTGCTTAACATGCTTAACTCCTATGTTAATATGTTTTATATCGTATCTGAATTAAGGAAAATATAAAATTAATTACCTGTTCCATTGCTGAGCACGTCCTGCACAATACTGCTCATTGTCACATTGGAATTGGTTGTTGATGTCTCTACCTGAAATTCGTGTAAAATATAAATGTTTAGAAATAACTCATTTGTTCTTTTTTTCCGTAAATAGAGGTTGGGGGTGGGGGCAGTCATTTTCAGATTATTTCTATCTTCTTTACAAGAAGAACTCCATATCAAGATATATAAAAAATGACCAAATTTTGATAGTTGACCGCTTAAAATACCGTAAAAATAAGTTAAAATCTGGTGTTTAACATGTTGACCCCCCTGCCTCCTAAATTAAGAAAATGGTTACTTACATGTTCGCACGGAATATTGTTCAGGATGACTTTGGTCTGCTCAGCTGTTTTAATGTCTGTGCATTTGAGAGTGGTTTTCAGAATTTCTAGAAGCTCAAGATCCGGGAAGTCTCTCGTGTCCAGTTGCGGGGCTTTGACTTGTCCAATTCGCATCGTTCTTGCCCCTTGAAACGATTCTCTCTTGTACGTAAAACAACTTACAATGTTGTTTTCCCTCTTACATTTCTGGCTCACGCTCCCCTGCATCAGAAATATCATACAAATTGTCGTTATTGTCAGCGTTAGGTGCATCTTATTGTCTTTAGTATTGAAATCAGAGTGAAGGAAACTGCACGTGCGTGGACAGAATCCGGAGACCTTTCAGACAGTTTGACCGCATCACTTCAAAGGATAACAGTGGTTACCGCCTGTCTTCAAAAGACCCCAGGGTGTGCGGAACCCCTGACCGCTGCGGGAAGTTAACTCGACGAATAAAAAAGTTACATAATATATGCACATACAAGACATCATAAAAATTTCCCATCATTTTGACTGAATAGATTACGAATAGATAATTATAAGAACAGATTGCACTACAAAATCATTTCTCTAAATTGTTACTGTACATATATACATAAATCGCAGTTTTCTACGTATTCACCACTTGTTAAATACATTGTAATGCCTTTTGTGGCGATGTTCTAATAGAATGTTTCCCGTCAGAAGGTTTTTGTTTTGTTCAATTACGCGAGCAGAGAATTTTAGCGGTCTTGCGTCTTCATATGTATGCGTGTAGATGTCGCATGCAAGTAAATGCGCTAACACAAATATCTCGAATTCAGTAGTCCATGTACCGATTTTCTCCATTTCTGTGATTTGTAAATACTCATTTACAGTAGTAAAGTCCGATCGTAGAATTTCTTTGAATTGATCCTTATTTTGAAGTGCATATTGAACGACTTTCTTTCTGAGATTGTCGTGATTGTCTTCTGTATTACTTATAGCATACGATACAGCTCTAAAAAGACAATTCCCGTCTTCTTTAGTTCTGTGGATTCCATGAATGTCCGAATCTGGATAAATCGGAATATTAAGTGTCTTGCATATATTTTCTTTTTCTTCCCTGGTTAAATGCACAGGATTTTGAGGATTCTGCAAAGTAGACATAATAATTACATCTTCTTCCTCTGTATCTTCAGTGTCAGATTCGTTGCTGCTTACATTACTCGTATCATCACTTTGTGTATCGTTGTCACTCTCGTCAGATGTATCCTCGTCCTCCGCCTCATTACTTTCGTTCCTACATGAAATAAAAAGATATCAAATTATTAACGCGTTGACAGAAAGTTTAAAATAAATTTTGAATATTCCTCGTATATGCCCCTTTCACATAAATTGTTTGATTTTTCTTCGTAAAAAAGTTATACCTTAATATGTAAAATTAATATAAAAAAAAAGTTTTCACTTACTCAGATTCCAGTTCCTTTAATTTCCTTGTAACGCTATAGTGTTGTAAATAATTATTCTCCTCTGCCCATTGAATTAATTCATTTCTGTGTTGAAATTCTTGTGCTTTACTTTCTATTGTAACATCCTCAGCATGATATAAAATCTGATCTAAATCCATATTTACTTCATAAGTGTACGATTTCAATAAATGATACAATGCGATATTTCACTATTTTACAAGCATATATTTGATTGTTAAGTAACCAATAAAGCGTCTTTAAAGATTCGGATTTCAAGTAACGCCGAATTGTGTAGTAACGGCTTAAATTGTTGAATAATATTTTTTATTTGAATAGTAGATTTGAATGTTTAGTCTGATCATTTAGTATGTTTATTTTTTAGTTTACCCATCTCAGACAGGATAGAAAGATCTGTTTTCGTGTTTATTTTTAGTTTACCCATCAAGCACATCCGACGAGGGTATAGAGATCTGCTTTCGTGTCTATTTTTAGTTTACCCATCAAGCACATCCGGTGAGGGTAGAGAGATCTGCTTTCGTGTCTATTTTTAGTTTACCCATCAAGCACATCCGGTGAGGGTAGAGAGATTTGCTATACCATATACTACTTATAGATTTTCTTACATTTTCTTGACCAATCAAATCGCACGTTTTTCTTGACCAATCAAATCGCACGTTTTTTAGCATGTGTCGCTGTGAATGTAAACATGGCAGACGCCATAAAATTCCGTATTAGTTGAGTATTTATTACTTTATAATATTATTTCCATTTCTAACTATAGAAATATATATTAATAATGTGTTGTTTATATTTGTTGGTGACAAGAACCAAAGTGTCAAAGATGTTGTAAAATTCTTGGTCATTCAATAAATACAAACTCGTTAGCTTTTGAAAGCTTCAAATACAAGAACAGATTCGATTATAAATCAGTTAAACGTTTTTCTCTCTTATTAAACACCTTTTGTGTTCATTTTTGTATCTTTATATGACTACTTCACAATATAAGAATATAAAAAATTTTAAATATACGAAACATATATAACAAATTAATATTCCCTCAAATATGATAAAGGAGGAAAGTCGGATTATCGAATATCTATTTTATTTAATATTTTAATCTTAATTTGGTAGTTCCATCTGATAGACCCTATATAAATATTACTTTACTTTCCAAAACAATATTCTGTAGGAAGATAAATGTATCTTCTTTTTTATCTATTGTAACTTAGCTATATCCGAGAATAAGAAACCTAAGAAATTGTGATCTATTTATATATGATGCTTAGAATCGATAGTTAAAGTGTATGTTGTATATTTAGTCTCTAATGATTGTTACATTTTTATTTTCGGAGGGGATAAAAATTTTTTTAAAAATGTAGTAAAACTTTCTAATCTGACAAGTGTGCAGTCTTTTACCCATGAATTCCGAAACCTTTCTATTCCGACCTAAAATATGCGTTCTTAATGTTTTCGGGTTAAGTAGGTTTTACTGTATTTTAAGGAAATATTTGATTTGAGTGAAAAGGCTTACTTACAAATTTTATATTTAAGTTTCGAGATCTACATTGATTTGGTCCTGTATAATGAAGTACTTTTTAACTTGCTAAATTCAGGATGTTTATGATCAATGATATTTAAATATTATATTTTCATTTCTGCAAATCGTCCTTTAATGTCTAAAGATAAATTGAATTTATATCATCATTTCTACACGTTGCTTTTTAATATAATAAAACATACAGTATACAATGTATATTATTTTTGTCGTTAAAAGTTATCAGTTTGCACTATTGCATTATACTCTTAGGAATTCCACATTTTCTTCTTTTATCTTTTTTTCTAAATGATGTCTTTGGTCGAAAACAACGTTCTGTTATGCCATAAATAGATTTTGCAACTATGGGGTACCCTGAGTTATTAAGTGAGACATAAGCCACGTACTGGCACTTTCATCATAGTTTTTCTATCTTTTTTTTCCTTTAGAAGAAAAAAAATCATCAGGATCAATTAATGAGATGAGTAATGTTGTAAATACGATTTCAAAGTATCAGAAAAAAAATATATAAAAAGTATTTTACAAAGTTATTCGAAATTATGACATCAACTGCCGTGATCATTACGTAAAATGCCAGGCCTCCTTATCACTCTTTCAATCCACAAGTTGTACCAGATAAACTCGTAGACAGGTCATCAATGCGAAAACACGACAATATAGAAAACAGATTTGAATTTTTCTTTCCTTCTGTCATGTTTCTGAGATTTCTTTCTCCAGTATCTTAAATCAAGGAGGAATTTCAGATTCATGATAAAGTGAAAAACTAATCATTTTTATTGAATATTATTCTTGCGTACAGGACTGACGTTTCTCGAGCAGATTTGACACTCTTTGTTTTTATCTGAAATTTATTTTCAGCTTTATTTGAAAAAAGAAAGGTTCTTGTCCAACCCAAGTATTATTGGGTACAAAAATTAACGACGAAAACATCACAAATCCGCAGTCTGTTTTTAGACAATTCATATACATATATATAATATGTGAAATTATCTCTTTCAAGGATCTGTCTGTTTTAGATTATCATTGAATAAATCATGTTAAAATAGTATGTGTTTTATAAATAGGCCTTGTGTCGCCATTTATATGCAAAGGTTTGATTTGTTAAAAAATTTCTCATCGCTGGATTAACGTGAATTTTTTGTAGGAGTATTACACATCTGTTTTATCTGTAACAAATTAGGAAAAAGACATTTCTTAGGATTTAATTACTCATGTTGAATAATAAAATACACTCGAAAATGCATAGCTCAGAATTTGGTAAAAATTGTCCGGCGCCCGTGTTGATAAGCTCCCGTTGTTTTTATTCAAATTCCTGTGGCGCATTTTACCAGAAATGAGGCGATTATCAGCAGAAAGGTTTGTAAAATCATTTATCAAGAAACCGAATATCAACCATCATAATAAATTTGTATGGTGAATTTTTATCAACGAACATTACCAAGAACCCCCTCTCCGCGGGAAGTTTGAGGAAAATGTATCTTCAAGATGAAAATTTAATCGACTTCAGGAATAATTGAAAACTTTTCACCCCGGCGACTTATCTGAAATGTATCATAATAGATTATTTTGTATAAAAAATGCCCATATCAAAATATCATAAAACTTTAACGTTGAATGGGGATTTAGAGAGAAAAAACTCAATTACGTTTAAGGATAATAAAAAATCCGAGCCCGGTTTTAACTCTTATCTTCACACAGGATCTTCCTCAATGATGTTATATAATCTTGCTTTCTAAGATGAAGATAATTCAGGAAGGTCTACATATAACAGAGAAGTTTTGACACAAAAATCTCTGTGGTAAATAAATATGGTGAGTACAATTTGAAAGCACTTATCACGACCGATTACGTGCGTCAGACGAGCCCGGAAAATATAGGAAATAGGACGTGACGGTATAGAGTCAATATAGAATTTAATGACGAAAGGCGTCTCTTACTCCCGGCGGGACAGTTTTATATTCTGTACTGGCTAATGTCAGAATCCAATGTAAGCATCGAGACACTTTAGGGAACATTTTAATTATATATAGATGCCTGTAATGAATTTAGAAAGGAAACCACGGAGAAAGAGGGACCCCTCCCGATGATAAGAAAGTTTACAAACAGTGCATGAAAAGTAATAACTAAATTCACTTACGAGAATTTATTTTTTGTAAACCGTACAAGATGATTGATACTTTTCTCATAATATAACCCTTAGAAAAAAATATTTATATTGAGAAATAGCAAATGACAGGTAGCAACATACCATTACATAATTAAGCGCTATAAAAAAGTTATAAATACATACCCGACACGTTGTTGGAGAAAGGCAGTAAACATGAATCAGTTTTCCTAAACTCACAAAACTACCGTCAATAAATCATTTAAGATGCGCCTAATGTCGATGTTAGACAAGAAATAACAAGCAGAAACAAATTGACAAGATTTTTATTTGGAAAGGAAAGCTTTCATACTTTCTACCCTGTCGCGAATGTTTTAAATTTGACTGCTGTCTTGCAGGGAAAGCAGCGCGAAATCTTTGCTGAATTTT